CTTGATAGACTGGTTACTCAAAAAGGGTTTAGACTGCTTATTGATTCTTTTTCCCTGATGGCTGTACAGTCCATAAACTTTGATCTTTATATTACTAACTACATGGAACTAGCTAAAATGTCAATAAAAGAATTTTATTTCAAGAAACAGCACTTAAGAGTGAACAGATTAGAGGACCAATACAAAACTCTGCTCTTTTTAACCCATTTAAAGTTTGGTTATAGATGTATGAATTGTTATCTGCTACAAAGGAAGTAAAACATTTTTTCTATGCCAATAGTTATAGGATCCATTAATCTACAGACATGTCAGTATTGTACACTTTCCAAAGTGGGGTAGAACTTCAATTTTCCCCCTTCAAGAATGTATCATTTTAATACTACTACTAGTAGCAAGAAAATATTAACTGGCCATAGCATCCTTTGAGAAACTGAAATCACTAAGTATCAGATATATGTTGAAATCCTTCAACTTAGTCACTTAAAAACAGCCTATTCTGCCAGGCCTCTCACAACGTCTTTTCTTTTCCATTTATTGTACAGCTCAGATTACACTAAAGAGTGGTGTGAAGGCCAGAGGAACATCACAATTTCACCCATATTTTCCAGCATCTGTAATTTTTCCACAGGTGTTGCTACAGGGGCAAAAAGGCTATGACCCTAAGGTCAAGTCAGTGGGCATTTAGGTGTTAGTATAACAGAAGGTGCTTCAATAACCATGGTTTGCACATATGGTAAAAAGAACCGAACAGACACACAGGCACTTCACTTTACTCGATGAATTCAGAAAGGAGGTGAAGCAGCATTGAAGCCTTATGGGAATTATATTTAAACATGCAACAAACTATCTTCTCAGACACTTTCTGAAATGAAATCAGTACTTTATGTTCCAAATTAAGTCAAACCACTGCCATCAGTTAAACAAGGAATACAGAACTATCAGAGGACTAAAACACAAATTAGTTTCAAGATTTGGCTGAAGACTACACAAACAAAAAATGTTTGACTCCTTCCAGCTCAGAAATGGTTTTATATGGTAAACCCATTTTTAAAGTGTACAAATTTTCATGTGGTGTAGCTCCTAAAACTGTTTCCTCCATAAAAATTAAGATTACACATGGTATAATATCCTAATCTAAAACCTCTACGGCAAGGAGCACCAACTCTTTTTTGAATCCTTCAGTGCTCTGCAGTCTTTTAAGATGTTATAGGATATCTGTTTTTCACACAATTGACCTTACTTCATCATTGGCTTGACATTCTATCTCTCATATATGCTTAATTGGCAGGGTGAAAGGCAAGTAAAAAAAACCCAAAAACTTTGACTTCCAACTTTCTCCGCAGTCAAGGACTTTCCAAGTAAGTTAGTGCAGTGACACTGCATTCACTCTAGCACCAGAGCATCAGCCATCTGAACTGTTACCAAGGTTAAATTCCAATGTCAGTAGAAATGCATGGAATCTACAAGTCATTCTAAGAGAGTTTCTGGATCTCTCTTGTAACAGGAAGGAGGGAAGTGTTTTCAAACATACAGAACAGGATTCTACTTATCCACTCCCAAAAGCTACAAAGTGTTTGCAGCCTGTTGTACATGGCAAGTCTTAATCCATTCATTAGGTATCTCCAGAGTAAGCGGATATAGGAGGATTATTATGGGGGTGTTGGAATTATTAAAGGAACCAATATGTCCTGAGACAGAAGGAATACTAAACAGCACTAGTATCAAGAAAATAATTATATATTGTGTAAGAATTCTTTATTGTGATCTTTTTCCTGTTCTTTGTAAGGTGCTCAGACATTATGGTGATGGGTACAGTATAGAATGCATGACATTTAGAAATATTTCTAGCTATAAAACAAACACTTTCGACACGTCTGTTCAATAACAATTTACAGCTAGAATATTCAAAAACAGCCTAAGGGAGTTAGGTGCTCAGCTCCAATGGAAACTCAATAAGAGTTAGGCACCTAACTCCCTGAGGATCCTTTGAAAATACCAGCCTACAAATGGAATTAGAAGTCTTGCTCCTACCCCTGTTGGGAACAAGAACTGGATTGATGGCACAGCCATATGGTCAACCTGAACAATGTACTTTCAGCATTACATTTCACTGGCCAACAGTCAGCTCTTACTATATTTTTCAGTACTTCAGCTAGCAAATCTTTTGAAAATCTGCAAGAATTAAAAGGGCATTACTTAGTAAAATAGAAAAAAGTTACATTAAAAATGTGAGCATGTATATGTTCATCAAGGATAAGTGCTAGGAGACTGCATGTGCTGTTATATTCAGTAAGTTGACAAGCCAGCAACACACAACTAAAAAATCAGCACATACAATAGAACCTCAAAGTTACGAACACCAGAGTTACAAACTGACCAGTCAACCACACATCTCATTTGGAACCGGAAGTATACGACCAGGCAGCAGCAGAGACAAATAAAAAAAGCAAATACAATACAATTTTGTGTTAAACATAAAAATAAAGAGAAAGCAGCATTTTTCTTCTGCATAATACAGCTTTGAAACATTACTAAGTCAATTTTCCATTGTAAACTTTTGAAGGAACAGCAATAATGTTTTGTTCAAGTTATGAACATTTCAGAGTTATGAACAACCTCCATTCCCAAGGTGTTTGTAACTCTGAGGTTCTACTGTATATCTAACAAAGTTGCTTTAGAGCTTTGGACTCAAACATGCTTTCTTATGGACTGTCAAAGATGTTGTGTCAGGGCCATTAGTTACAGTAAATGCAGAGCTAAGACTTCTCCTCAAGCAGGACAGAGGTCATAATTTCTCTCTCACATACTTGTATACTAACGAATGGTGAGTAGACAAAATAGCAGCTGCTATCCCCAGAGTCTTGTTTTTCTCTATCATATTGATTTTGTCATTATTTTAAGAAACAGAATGGATGACCTGCCTGTTCTTGTTCTTTTGTACAGATTCCTGCTTCTTTTCTTTTGGAAGACAGCTAGCCCTTGCTTCAGGAGTAATCTCAAGAACTACCACGATTTTTTTGGTCCCTGGGCCCCTTTAAACCTCCCACAAACACACTCATGCAACAAACCAGAAAAGAGAGTTGGGAGTGGAGATAAATCACCATCATCCTCAAGTAACAATTTTCTGATCGAAAGTTCCACTGTAAATTTCCTAGGCAAGAAATAGAGGAACAAGTAGATTCCAATTCTTGTGGGAAAGAATATACAGCAGGCAGAGATCTCAGTCTATTCTAGGCCTTTTCCTAGCCCAGAAAGTAGTTTAGATAACAAACATGTTTCCAGCATGTTGGAACAAGGGCTGAATATGGGATACCAATCCCCAAAACAACATTGCCCTGGGAATGCTGCAATCCCCACTTTCCCTGAGATATACAGTGCTACCCTTGGGATTTGACCTCTTTCATTCAAAAATTGAGAAAATGTAGCACAAAAATTATCACAAATTTTCAGCATTGAGACAGCCTTGCTGCAAGTTCAAGATGGTTTATGAATTGCTTTGATGCAGATGTACAGGATGAATCTTTCCTCACTTATTTAATTAAACCCCCTTTCCCACATCTGAGTTTTGCAAGTTTGATGGTACCGATTAAGGAGAACTTTACTCAAAACTTTCTCCTTGAAGATATATTTATGAAAGGTTTTGGAGGCTTTCTGGGGTACATTCTCTAATTTTGTCAACCAAGGATTCTCTGTATAGGAATTAAACTGCTCCTTAACAGTGTTAAAAGATAGACAGAAAGATAAAGAAAAAGTAAAAGGGGTTGTAAGGCTGGAGGATTCTGGTAGCTGGGTGGAATCAGAATGAGTAGACAGCTGGGCACTGAGTGTACAGCGCCTCCTTAACACATGGGAGATGAGGTAGGAGAGGAGGGAGGGGAAGAGATGGTTATAGCAGTTAGAAATTGACACAGAATTCTCCATACAATTCATAATTTCTTCCTGAACTGGAAACTTTCTCAAAACTTCTGGAAGCTTTGAAAAACCCTTCCAATGCATGCACCAGAGCCAAGCAACTCAGGAACATTGATCTAGGAATAATATCTGACTTTAGACGGTTCTAGTTCATAACAGATGGAGACTTGCAACTGTGCACCTACCTGAGGGCAACTAAAGACTCCTCAGGAGCCTTGGCCAGTACAGTTCTTGCAGGAAATGCATGGCCAAGGGGCAGCACGGAAGTGGGAGGTCAGGTGCTGGAGCAGAAGCTAGGGGGCTGTGGATGGGCAGCCCTCATATGCCTCGCCTAGAGAGGGTCTCCAGCAATTTTTTTTTTACAGGGGTTACAGCCCAGCCACTTCTGCTGGTGGGCCAGCACACACTCCTCTCTCGCGTGTGCGCACACACACACGAAGAATAAAGAGTAAGTAAGGATTTCATGTCCAGTCCCCTACATGTAACTAACCTGGCATAAAGAAGCATGAGGCCTATTGTATAAATATAACTTATACAGCAGCAGGTTCATTTGTCTAGAAGACAGCACACTTGTGCAGCAGCTCTAGTTCCACAAAAATTAGATAATGTTTCAAGCTAGAATATTAGGAGTAACGAGTCATCTTTTGTCTGTTTCCAGGCACTTCTAGCAATAGGAAAGCAGCAGATACCTGGTGTTAATTAAAACTCATTCAATAAACTGACAGCTAACCCTCAAATTGCTGGATTCACTCATTGTGAAGAGCACATTCCTATACACATGCAGCTTACTCATGTAAGAAATATCCACTGTACTAGGATTCTCTCTTATGTAAAGATCACCACCACAGAAGCTAGCTAAAAATACGGAGACCAAAACAAAAAGTCCAATTTCATTTCCTAATGTGTAAGAGGCAATGAGAATACAAAGTCCCATTTGCCCCATAGTATTTTTCAGCATGCTAACACATATTCAAAACAACTCTTGTACTGTAGTGCCAACAGTTAATGACAATATAAAATTAAATCCACATAGTAATGGGATCGTAGGACTCCTTTATAGGTCCCTCTCCATGCTACTGCTCTCCTACCTTCAGCTGCCTTGATTAGATATCCACTCTCTTTGCTTGGTGGCACAGCCAGCAGCTGCATGACTCTATCCAGCAACCCATGGATGACCTCAAACCCGGGGTTCTTGTTGTAGTAAATGGCACAGAGATTCCTCTGGTTCCTTGCACCTACATCTGCAGAGGAAACAAACAGTTGTACTTCTGGGTTTTGTCACGTGTTTATCCTTCCCTTTTGCATCAGTTTTTACAGTTGTGCATGGAAACATCTGTACCCCAGGGAGAAACTGAGAATGCAGAATGGCCTCTCCCACAGACATCCATCCCACACTCTGCGGAGTTGATTATAGGCACTGGCCATGCTTTAACTCATAGGTCTCCCATCATTTGGAAAAATCATGCTGCACAAATTTTAAATACTGTACTTTATTAGGATGGAAATGGAGAAGAAATGTGGTAAGGAGAAATATCTTGCCAAGTAAACAACAGAACTCAGTATATTTCCAACATGTTATTAAAAGGTTAAAGGATTTAAAAAGCAGATTAACCAAAATATGTATATTCAACAAGAATCAACAAGATCCTGATACTTAGAATCTATTATTTTTTAAATTTACAATTTAAGGTTGGTGGCGAAAGATTTATGAACAGGGAGACCCAGCCTTTTACCAGTACAAAACAAGCCCACTTCTGTAAGTAGCCAAATATAATTATACTCTCATGGATGTTTGGGGCTGTGTGTGAAGAGAGATCTTGGTCTAAGTCTAATTCCAAGAAGACAGGTTTCCACATCACAGAAGCCATCCACACAGTTAAAACCTTCCTTGGTAGTCCTAGAAGCATGGAAGATCCAATGAGAGTGCACTGTATTTTCACATCAGCTTTCAGGACAGGATTGAAATACCGGTGGTGGAGCAGAGACGCTACAGTTACGTGTGGTGCACCTGTTTTATGGATATCAGTCTCAGACTGTCAAATCAAACACCTCAAATGTATATTTTAAAAAGCTTCGTAATTTCCAAAATTAATTACCATATATCATGTGTTCACACAAAGCACTAAAAAACTACAGCAGCCTCCCCCTCCCCCCCGCTTAATTTAAATTCATTTTGGTTAGACTATTCATTTCACCAGAATACTTTGTCATTTTCTTGTCACATGGATACATTTTAGACACAAGTGTACTACAGAATCATTATATTCCTGTGCCTCTCCAGACTAGACCATGGCAGTGCACTCTGCTTGGGTCTGTCAAAGGTTACTCAGAAGATTCAACTAATGCAGAATCCTGCTTTTTAATTTTTTGAGAGGAAAAGGATAATACATGCGTTCTTATCTGTCAATTCACTTATGGTGAAATTCAAGGTATAGTTAGTATACCACCATCCTGCTAAGCTGTCTATATCTAGGCTTGGCAGACTTTTTAAAAAAAATATATTTTCAACAGATATCAATGTTTATTTTTAAGCATTTTCCCTATTGTTTTATTGATTGCAATTTTCAGTTATGTAAAATGCACTTTTTAAGCTTTTTTATCTTTATCAATTAAAATTTCCAGTTATGGGAAATTATGGGGGGGATGAACAATATAGGGGACAGAATCATTTAATGACAGCAGATGTGGAGATTCAAAAAGTTAAAGCTTTATAACCGTTAAAATACAAACTGTCAATCTCAAATTTCAAGATATTCTGAGTAAACATCCTTAAATCAAATGAATAACTTCTCACACTGCATCTTCTTTACTTTGTCTGTCTGAAATTTCAATCATCATTGATGGAAATACTTTTTCGTTAATTTCTGTGTGTGTGGTGAAATCAACATTTACCAGCATTTATTAATGAAAATCTAATCCTCCCAAGCCTATCTATAGCCCAGTTCTCAGAAGTCACTTCTCCCCTTATGGTGCACTCAGCAGAAACCCCTTGCCTGGCCGTGCCAAGGGTGGGGCTTGCTGGCTGGCTGTGCCAAAGCTGGCCCTTGCAGAAGTCAGGAAGGGCTCTCTGTGGGCTGGTCTACACTACTGCTTAAGTCGACCTAACTTACGTCCCCTATGGGTGTGAAAAAGACACCCCCCGAGCGACACAAGTTACAGCAACCTAAGTATGTCCACATCAGCTCTAGGTCGACAGGAGACTCTCTCCCACCAATAAAGCTTCAGCCTTTTGCTGAGGTGGAATAATTATGCTGACGGGAGAGCTCTCTCCCGTTGGAATAGCGCATCTTCACCAGATGCGCTACAGAGGTTCATCTGCGCTGCAGTGTAGACTTGCCCTCACTGACAGTCCCTTTCTTCTAGGATAGAATTTGCTCACAACAAAATACCAGCTAGAGCCTGATTATTTGTACAGCACCACACAAGATGTATGGATTTTTTCAGATTGTAGAGAGTCCTCCAACATTTAGCCTACTGATTAGGTTTTGTTCCCCTCCGAGTCCATCTCTTCTCCCTTAAAGTGGGAGAGGAGGGTTGCCTTAATTCTCCTCCTTTTGGAGAAAATATGTTATGAGACATGTTTTTATAAGCCTCCAAAATTAAAGTTACAGTTATTTATGAAGATGACTCATTTTACTGCAAAATATATTTCATGCTTTTCCCCTTGTGCCTTTCATTCAACATCTGTGTGTAGCCAATGGGAAAGATCATGAGATGCTAGAGACTTCAGAGGAATCACGGAACATTAGGATCCGAGCCCATTTTCAAACAAACATGGACAACGGAGTTCTCAATATGAAACAAAGCCTGAAAGAAGAAGAGCAGGTCGGATTACCATAGCTAAAATATTTTTGCACCTGGATGCCTAAAATAGCAGCAGTAGGCAGAACTGTATTCTCTCTCTCATAAGCCCCATCCACTGACCAGACAACTCTGTCCACTTTTCTCCAATGCAGACCTAGCAGCAGTGATTCACATATTTATCATTCTAAATTTGATTAGTGCATACTTTTGTATATTGGGTTGACCCACTCCACTTGCTACGATGGCTGCCATTCAAATGCTAGGTGCATTCTTAAAGAGATTTGGAACGCCAATTTGGAATCCCTGTCAGACAGAATTTGGGTTTGGCCTTCGACTGCTCCAAAAATAATTGGTCAATTCAGCAAATTTGGTCAAATAATGTCCAAAATGTCCAAATATTTTAAACACACTAATTTATTAGAACAGTAACAACAGTAACAAAAAAGACTAAGACTTTATGGTCTCCTGAGGGGTAAGGTAGATACTCATGTCTAATTACAAAAACCAAGTTACTTAACTGAGTTATTTTAACTCAGAAAAATGTAAAATGAAACGAAGTTCTACAAAACGAAAGAATAATTATCTTTTTTTTAGCAATGTTAGATTAGCATTTAAATGTCAATGTTATTCAAGGCTGAAGAGTTACAAAAAAAGAAAAATTAAACAAATAAAAGAAACCCATAGCAACTATAAAAGAAAAAAGTTATTTTTAAATGCAGTTATGCTAGGTAGGCAGCAGGCCAACTCTTCAAGCATCCTGCTTTTCATTATCTTCTTTTTCTTTATCAGCTTCAACTGCTTCATCTATATCTTTGCATTGATAGCTTGGTATACAAATAAAGACATATACAGTGTTTGTCTGGAATCTTCCAGGACAATCAAGATGTTCAACTTTCTGTCAGTTTGCCTTTTTCCCCAACAGATGACATAAATGTATAGCAAAGTTAGTGATTTAAGACATTTGTGTAGGCTTGCTAACACACACTACCATACCACAATCAAAAAGGTAGGCCACTGCCTATATCAGGGCATTCTTGATGGAATGTGTGACAACACTTGACCATGGACAAATAATATGTGGTCAACTGACCAGCCTGCCAAGCCTAGACAGAATACCGGAAGTTCATGTCTCTACACCAGATGTTGGGATCAAGAAGCAGCAGCCTCAACACTAGAACCCAGATGAAGCCAGTCAGCCTTTTCCATCCCTTTCTACCCTTACCTTGATGGAGACAATTCAGTTGGAGAGTAATTTTAACACCATCTTACCAGCCCCAGAGGCTCTGGCTGTCTGGCATGAAGGAGCTGTCCCCTACAATCCTATTTCATCTGTTGGAGTGGAAAGAGCATCTGTGTCAAGGCCCCCCCTTAAGCACTTAGATGGAGGGAAGCTTGAAAAATCCCCTAACAGCTGGAGATTGAGCAATTAAAAAAAAAACAAAAAACCCGCCAGCTATTCTCCAGGAATCCTGATGGGCTCAGGAAAAGTTTCCAAGCTCAGAATGCTCCAAGATCTCTACTGAGCTCAAGTACTAACTAGTACAGAACAAGGGGTGAAGAAGGATAAAAAATTATTCAAATCTTGGAATACCGACAGTTTGGGTCTGACTAAGCTTTTTTCAGGAAATATTTGTCAGCGGTCTCCTCAATAACAGGAGTAGAACAAAGGTGGATTTCATCTCGCTCACATGTTAGGTGATTCATGAGGACATCATTACTGATAAATCCTCAGAAAATTCAAAGTAGGTCACTTGGATTTTGGTTTGATCCTGGTACAAGTTATCAAACCACTATCTGAACCCATTTCTTCAGTGTCACTCTTCTAATACGAAGTAGTAAATCTGGTAGCTATCACATCTGCATGCAGAATATCTGAGCTGTACTCCACAGATCTCACGAGACACTTCTCTCCTTATTCTATACCAATCCTAAACACAACAAAAGAGAAACTCTGCCAAATGTTGGACATACTCAGAGTGGTTAATATCAACAAAGCAAGAACTCAGGCATATAACTAACCTATACCTACTGTACCATCTCCCAGTGAACAACAAAAAAGGCATTTAGAACCATCAGTTACTAGGTGGCTAATGTATTGCATTAAAGAGGAATACAAAGTACAAGAGTAAAAGCTCACAGGCAAGATCAAAGCTCATCCTTGTGGACCAAAAGTCATTCATGTCTTCAGAAGATATTTACAAAGCAGCAGGCAGATAATCTAGTACCATGTTTGCTAGACTCTAACAGTGGCTCTCAACCTGCAGCCCAGTGACCACTGCTAGAAGCTAGACATGCAGGCCTGTGCAGACACTGCCTTCAGTGAAGGGTTCTCTGTTATCCAAGAAGCTTCTAAATACTAGAATTGTAGCTTTCAGCTTGTAAAAAGTAACTGTAGTTTCACTAGGGTTAATTCCCAATGCGGGAATGGCAAACCTAGACAAAACAGATCTGATGCCTGGTACATCTGATATCTCTTCTCGGGGTATCCAAGGTTTGCAATTCAAACCTAATACTTTCTTCATTTGTATCCCACCTCTCCCTGATGCCTATAAGTAACTATAACATCACGGTTACAGGATAATTTGTACATACATATGCAATATATATATTATTATGTTATTGCAGCCTATAAATCAGGTTAGACCAGGCACAGAAACTTCACATCCTCCCTAACCATGATGAAAATATACATTTTACCCCCTCAAAAAGTTCTCTGACCAATGAGCGAATAGAATTTTGCAAGTATGCAAAAGTTTACATATATAAACAACTGATAAGAAGAAAACCTTGTTTACTATTTCCTATTCCCTTGGGCTGTTATGTCCTTTGAGAATGCAAGCTTTTTGGAGATATCTTTTTGTACAGTGCTTAGCATATTGTAGGCGCTATTAGAAACCACAGCAACAAAAGTTAGGTTGAATTTTACTTCACAGTTACTCAGGTAATTTATGACTTCCTCATTTCGTTATCCCGAACAAAAAGGTGGCCACGACAAAAAAAATACTTCAAATTCTTATACTTCACATTTTCAAAATCACTGAACAAACCTTAACCAATGAGCACATTTTGTGTTCACTCAATCCTTTCCAAGCTCTCAGTCTTTCAGAGAGTCAATACATTATATCACAGGAAGTTCATTCACTGCACACTACGGGGAAAACAGTATTTGGAACTTTATGCCAAAGCTGGGGTTTGTTGGAAATGCCTCAGTTCTTTGTAAATCATTTAAGAGAGCACTTGTATCATGCCATGAAACAATTCTGTGGGCCTGCCAAATATGTCAGCCTAAATTATATATGTATTTCACCGACTTCAAAGCACTGCCTGGAGATGCTGCTCTAAAATAACTTAAAGGATGGGCAGCTGGCTAGGACTTTGCGAGCCAAAACAATGTAATGAAAGATAGAACAGTGGTGCATGCTGCCCCCTAGTAACTTTAAAGGGTTTAGAAAAGATGGGATTTTGAAAGAGTACACCTGCTCAGTTAAACACTAGTCTCACAATCAATCAATTTCACAGAAATCCGCATTTGTATATAATTACAGTAAGGCCTGCAAGAAAATGCACACAAACAACTTCAACTGCATCCACAATTTAATCTCAACCATGTTAGAGGCAGACTGCTGCATACTTGCAAAATTCTACTAGGTAATTGTTCAGAGAACTTTTTGAGGGGGTAAAATGTATATTTTCATCATGGTTAGGGAAGATGTGAAGTTTCTGTGCCTGGTCTAACCTGATTTATAGGCTGCAATAACATAGTAATAACACTAGAGAAGACTTTACCAACCTAACAATAAGACCAAACCGCAAGACAATATTCTATGCAACTCTGCAGAGGGTGCACAGAACTGTGCGACACATACTCAAACCCTGCATTTTCTCTCTCTCATCCTTTGAGAAGGAAACTTTAGTCAGATTTGGATTTATTTTTATTAAATCTGGCATGCATTTTCCAAATTTAGTAAATCAAAATCTATGTCTCATATGTGAGGAGGAGAAGTATGTTTTGTTCACCTTACTAAAGATGAAGTGTGGGCAAAAATATTTTTATTAAAGAACAATGCATTTATACAGCTATATTTATTCACATACAAATGACTACTTCACATTCCGTGAGTGTCAGTGCTCTTCTGATCCATACTTTTTAAATTAATTGGAAATTTTGCATGCCAAAAATATGAAATAGTAAAATTAAGTTAGTCAGAATGATAACATAAGTGTACTGCAGGGAGTCTCATTCCATATGTGAAAACAGGACAACCCCATATTGTTTAATGTCTACAGAACTGTTGTTGATTTCTCATTCCTTTTTTCCTTTGAAACTATGAATTACAGCACATTTAGATTTAAGGCCCAAAAATTAATCTGGGAAAGACATTAAGCAGATTTACTGAAAATATATACCACAAAACAATTTTATTAGTTGTATTCTGGTAATTCTCATACTGTACCAGGCACTGTGCAAATACATCGGAATACAAAGCCCTTATCTCAAAGAATTTATCTTTAATCCACAGCAATGATTACTGCTAAACTTAAAGTACACTTTAAGAGTAGGCTTTTATAACACAGTTAAGTGGCCATTTGTATAAGTGGAAGCTTAAAAAAATCCTACAGTGAGAACCCATGAAATAACAGTAATTTATTTAACTAGTACATTTCATGCAGCCAGAAGGAATGCTCTCTTCCCTCCAACATAAATAACCTCTACACCAGTTATGAAGAATGCTAAAGCTATTCTGCCATCTGTACCATGTTTTGTACATGCTGGCAGCCTCCTTGCCCAACAAGTAATGAGCCTGGATCACCAAACTGTCTGCATTTAATAAAGAGTCTGCATGCTTTGCTAAAATTGCTTATTTTTCCTGGCAATTTTTAAAAAATAATCCACAAATTAAGTTCATCAACAAAGCAATTTACTTGCTATTTTGTTTACGTCTTATGTAAACCTTTGTTTCATAGACACCAAATAGGTTAAACACAGCATGAAAAGCTGAAACCAGATAACACAGCAGCACTCATTTCTGCTACTGTATTTAAGGTAGTGTCAGGATTTTTCATTATGAAGTGGCAGAAATTTGCTTCAGGGTTGCAACGCAGCACACAAGGTCTTGCCAGCAGAGAAACAGATCTATATACATCCTTCTCCACCAAGCCACCGTGTGAAGAAAAACTAATTCAGTAACTTGAGTTAGATTTTTTTTTTTTTTTATAGTTTAGGTTTTTTTTCCTTACAGCTTGCAGCACTTTTATATATTTCCAAATAAAAATTATGCTGTTTTAGGCCCCAATCCTGCCTACAACCAGGCAGAATACCATTAAAATCCTTGAAACGTGAACTGACTGCTTTGGCTATTTAAAATATAACCCAACTAAGACTGCAGCATGATACTAAAGGAGACATGTTTATCTCAGCACTCTGCATAAAATGGGAACATACTCTCAAGTAGATGATTTGATAGATGTGTGGGAATTTTATCACACCAAGAATTTCTTTCTTTCTTTTTGTTTTTTTTGCATGTGGACTTGCCCCAGTCTTCACCAAGAAACAGCAATACACTTGCAAGACATCCACTTACATAAGGGGAGGGTGTGCACAGCCCCAGTATTGATCTAACATAGGTTACATATCTATTACAATGGTAAAGGAGACATTAGCTATCGAGTGAGGGAGGGTATCACAAAATAAAAAGTACTTAGACAAATCTGTCAGATCAGATAATCACTTTTTACTAAACCCCTAAAAGGAAAAAAAGTTATTTATAAATTCTGCAGATTTGACGGTATTATCCTATAGGATTCTCTCCCTATGTCTCACACTCCCAGTACAGGTCCTCCTGGGCCTCAGATATGGTAGTTCAGCACGAGACGTCTCCCCACCCCCACACTGGGATCTCAGCATCAACAAAGGCTGTCCCAGGTGGAGATGTGCAATAAAGATTTAAAAATACCATTGCAATCATCAGACCCAACTTCTGTAGCATGGTCTGAGCTGTCGTGTGATGAGTGACAAATCCTCACTGGGAAACTTACTATGCCCTGGATCCTGCCCTGGGCCAAGGTGGCTATGAGTTGAGCTTTTCTTATTGATCTCTGACCTACTTAGTTCTCTATGGGGGACAAGCCAAGACTTTGGAATCACTTGGTTTAGGTACCTAGCGAGCTTTTCAAAAGTGCACAGGAACCATTGATTTCAGTGCGTGTTAGGCACCTATCTGCATGTTGCCCAAATACCATTAAAAATCTGGCCTTTGAAGCAAGGGAGTTCCACGCTGGTGCTGTGAGCATGAGCTAAGTGAGAATGAATTCTGTAGCAATATTTTTGATAAACAGAGATTTACCCACTATTACCATTTATCAAGTAAATAAGCATTTCTTGAGAGGCACTTGCCCATAAAGTTGGGTACAGTACAGATTCCCTGAAGGACATAGGCCAAAACAGCTAAAGGGTTGGACATTATAAAAATTAAAACCACTAACACTGTAGGACCTGTTTTAATAGAGTTATAGAAGTAGCACCTCTTAAAAAAGAGCAACTTAAAACAGAGCAGGCCAGAGTTCTTTCAAAAAATCATGAATCCTTGCACAGAAGATATGAAAAGCTCTTGTGTGCTCAATGGGGTTCTCTTACCTTTGGTGGAATCTTTTAAGACAATGTCAGAGATTTCAAAAAGTTTCAGAGGCAAAGGCATCTTTCTATTAGCAGCAATAGTCTTCAGGAGGCCAGGCAAGAGGCTGGTGCGTGCCACCTACAGGTCAAACATGAAATTGCATGCGTAAAACAACCTGGCAGGTTGCGTAGGTGCTTTATCTTTTCTGGGTTTGCTTATTTGGAATTAGTTTTAAAATAACCAGGTGAAATAATGCAGTAATTTCAGAAGTTTATCGCTCTTTATTTTAGAATTATTAAACCTGAAAATGTAGATTCATGCATTTACTGCTCAAGGATCTCAAAGTGTCTTATGAATGTGCATGAACATTCATACCCACATTTTGCAGGGGAAACCGAGGCACAGAGCACTTCAGAGGCTTGTCTGAATTTGTATGGCACATCCATGACACAGGAAGGGAAAAAAAACCAGGACTTCTCATTCCCTGTCCCCAGCTCTAACTACAAGGTAACACTGCTTCCAAATACATAGATTGAGAATTTCTCTAAGGAACTAAAACAATTCATACATATTTCTGATGCAAAGTGACATGTACCATCAGTTATACTTTCAAGGAATGTGTCATCATATTGCAAGGGTCCTCATGAATTTTTAAGCAAGAGAATGGCTGAGGGATGGGATGCTTCCTCTACTTCTCATTGTCAGTGGTGTGAGTTCAAAGGGTTCTTGCTCCAGAATAGAGGATTTAGTAGCTAGGAGCTCAGCAGCTCTTTTGCTTTGCAGTAGTGTATATATAATGGACAAATGAAAGCTATTTATTTGTAAGCCAGCTGTGAACCAATCTTAAAAATTCAAGACATCAGCCAGATGACTGATGAGTGGTGCAAAAGCAGTAGCAAAGAGACCTGGCAAGGTGGCAGCCAGGTACACAGGGAAGTTAAAATATGAGTTTAAACTTAATTTTGAAATTTGGATTAAGCTGATGGGGGCATAAATATGTGGAGTTTAAACATATAAAGACAATTCCTGTTGATACAGAAAGTAAATACTAAGATGACTTCTGAACAGTCATTCATAGGCCTGCTGGTGACTATCAATAGCACAGGTGATATTGTAAGATACTGTACTGTAATATGCTTAAAATATGTGGAGAGACCACAGTGATGGACAACCAGAAGTACCTATGATAGAAAAACAAGGAAACAAAACACCAGGTACTCACATTAGTGTTTTTTCAAATGCAATTCACCCACATTTACTGTGCCCTGCCTTCAAATGCTGTCTTAATAAAGTGCCCCAGTTTTCAGATTGGCTCAGTGGGACTAGATTTTCCACTGGAATTTACAAATCATGGAAACACTTCTACTGAACTTAGATTCTCAAAAAGCCTGACTTTACTAACCTATATTTTGGGTGAAACTTGACCTCTCTGCTGAATTTTGGACTCTGCAACTAGTCTAGATTCTGCTGATACAAACGGACATTTAGAGATTTAGGATTTAAAGGTGGAAATTACTGTAACAAAACAGGGCCCAATTTTGTCACCCCTAATCCCATTGGGTAGCACCTCATTCCACTAAGTTTACACTGTTTAAAATATTATTAAGTATAAGGGGGATAGAATTGGGCCCTCAGAAGAAACTGCAAGCAACTGTATTTTACATGTGCATAATCTCTCTATTGACTTCTAACTGCATTAAAAGTGGTCACCACATTTTATGTATTTTCTTCCCTTTCGATATTTAAGTTACCTCCCAAATTGCAGGCTTTAAATGTATTTTTGTAATGTTGTCTTGCCGATTGGTAACTACCTTCTCAGATGTTTAGGGAAGCTGGTAGTGCAACTATTAGACCTGAAATTAAACTACTCACCTGAAATTCTGCTGTTTTGGGATTAGCTACGTGTACTGCTTTTGTTGAAGAGATGTCCACACCAAGTTTATCAGCAATATCTTCTTGGGAACACTGAGGAGAGAAAAAAAAACACAACCAAACACAGTCAAATGGTTAAAATATACAGAGAACCGATGATAGAACTTGATATCAAGAACAATGCAAGATCAGAGAGAGTCATGTTAAGGGGCATCAGAGCTATTGCTGATCTGCAATACTCACTTGTAAGCACAAAAGAAAGCGAAGAATGAAGCCTCAGCCTTCTATCTAAATGGGCTGGTTTATTTATGCATCAATTACTAACCAAAATAATGCTAGATTAACAGGAAAAGGCAAGAGTGTATTAGCTTTTATCATGGGTAATTATCAACTATTTTAAAAATAAGAGGACAGATTCTTCCACTCTGATTTCCATTGAATAGTAATTTCCTGTGCAAGTAGTCCCAGTGGAATCAGTCCTACACTGAGCCTTCGCACAGAGAAACCAATCCCACTGGGACTACTTGCAGAATAAGCTACTACTGTGCATTGGTTTAAGGGTTACACAATCTAGCCCTCAACTATCATGGCTCCATTAGGCTCTCAAGGTATCATTAAAAAGCTAGTTACTAAAATAGTACAAGTGACCTATTTAGCTCACTGATCACCTGTGCACACTGAGTGACAGAAACTACCATTAAGGCCATGCCTACACTTACAAGCTTACAGTGGCACAGCTGTACCAATACAGCTGTGTTGCTATAACATCACTCCGGTAGCCGCGTTACGTAGATAGGAGAGAGCTCTTCCATCAACATAATAAAACCAGCTCAACGAGCAGCGGTAGCTATGTCAGCAGAAGACACACTCCCGCCAACAAGCGCTTATGCTGACAAAAAATATGTCGCTCAGGGGTGTGTTTTTTCACATCCCCTGAGCAATAAAATTTTTGCCGACATAAATGCTAGTGTAGACATGACCTAAGGTTCACAGTCCAGATTTCCAGAATTTATAGCTCTACTAATGCATTAGGAAATTGATACATGAACTCTGCATGTAACTGAGGATTTGCTAGTATTCTGCAATCCTCCCAGAGTGTTCTATTTGTGTTGGCAGTGCTCCAAAAGGGGTGTTGATTGAGCAAATGTGAGCAAAATTAGCAGCTGACACCATTGGAAAGAGTGGGCTTCTGAATGGAAAAAAATTATTGCTGACCTTAGCAGGAATTTTTTATGGTCAAGTGTTTTCAGATGTCTAGCTAAACTTCGTTAGCTGACTATGACGGGACTGAATACACACTAGCTAAATCATACAGAACTCAATGTTACTCTTTTGAAGCTATAGTTTTGGGCTCAAACCAAAGAATGGATTACATGTGAGAATGACTAATGGACATTTCTCATCCAAAATGTACATGAGGTTGCGGAATGGTGCAGCATATATGACACTGAAATGATAGGTGTGTTTCATATCTGTGTTTTAAGAACCTGGCAGTGATACGCCAGAGCTCAGATATCAATGCCACAGCAGAAACACAGATGTGAAACATGCATGACATGATGTAAGTGCCCGATCTCACAAATCCCTACCTATGTGAACAGCCCTTACTATTGTAATCACATGCTGCTGCAATTCATAAAGATCAGATAACATGTACTGCCGGGATGCATATAAATTCAGCATTTTGAAGCATCCCAGTTATCTGATGTTGAGAACACTGACGAGACATTCATTGAACTAATACATGAATAAAATCTGTGAAAGCTTTGAACACAGGAACACATTGTGCTTCCCCTATCATTGTACTACTACAGATCATCTTACTACACTGCATATTGGTAGAGTGAGAAATAACTGGTAGCTATTATCCTGGATAGGCCAAAGTTGAAAAAAAAAAAAAAAAATCACATCTGAACCTCCTGGAAGTCAGGAGACAGAAGTTTGAAGCCAATTTTTATAGTTTTACATTATCCCATTACATTGGGATTATGGTATTTGGTTTCAAAGGGTAAAATTTTCAAAGGCACTTAAGTGCTGTAGGAGCCTAAGTCCAATTGAAAGTCAGTGTCATAAGACACTTATATGATTTTGAAAATATTATCCAAATATTAACTGTGAATCAGATAACAGTCTCTGAAAGGAGGATGAGTGTCCTTTCAGGGTGCATGTGTGCATGTGTATTTTTTGCACCACATACAGGGTCAGCTATTAGTTATATAAATCTCATGCATTTCTGAAAATCCTTTATACATCTAGATCTACTCAAATATAAGGGCACAATCTGGTACAAATTCTGTGGCCATATTAGCACGTGGGCACCTGCCATTATGTTCACCCAAGTACTTTTATTCTAAAGAACTTATTTAGCATACTAAAAAATGTTTTAAAATCTATTCTGAAGAGTTGCTGTACATTGATATCTGATTTGCTAAAGTAAATATGGTCATGTGCATTTAATATTTTTTAAAAACATTTACTAGTCTGTATTATCAACTAATGGTCTGCACAATTCCAGTTTTCAAAACTATACTAACTGCAGTTACGGACATAACTATGGTAAGAAGTACTCTTTGCTGTGAAACCCCAATCCCTTGCAAGGGTCTGAGTACAACTGTAACAACTATAACAGTCTATATCTGTGCAGGAAGCTGGAAGTGAGACTGTTGCATGGGGACGTAAGAGTACAATTAATGCATAATTTATACTTTTTAAAAAACTTTAAAAAGATCTGTAAAAAAAACAATTTTGCTGACTGAGGCTTTGCATAACACTAAAACAGCTGAAGCAAGCATTCACAGACAAGTTACAATACCCAAAAAAGAGTTCAGAATGGAATGGCTGTGAACTATATGAACTGCAGTGTTATATATGGGGTATCACTATTCATTTTGTTTCCACATTATTAAATTGTAACCAAATACATTTGGTTTGTTATTAAACTCTGGCAATCTTGAGAAACAGTCTGACAGTCTTCTACCTCAGTACTATTCATGTTAAGTGAAATTTAGAACAGTCCATTTCAGCATCCATATTTCACCTCTATATTTTGAAATATATGCCAGATTAACAGTCAGCCATTCAATTCCTCTGAGGACACAAACTCACACAACACTCATTATATTGTAATACCAAAACATTAGCAAACAAGCATGTCCCAAAACAAGATCACATAACATTTGCTGCATTTACACTGCATGACACCATAAGACTATTATGTTCTGATTTGGCTCCCTAATTGTTTCAGTATACAACCAAAAAATCCCAAAGTTAATAAAAATGTACCAGTGCAAAAGTGAGCGCTTCAGTGAATCCAGCAGCTGCCAAGTCCTGTCTCAGAAGTTCTGTGAGCTTATTGAGAGGAAACTAAAAGAAATCAAGACAGTTTTCATCTTCAATCTGAAAATATTTATGATGCTTTTCCTTGATAACTCTGCATATTACACTACAGTGAACGTTGCTAGTAAGGTTGCTTGCATGCTTTAAAAAACAACAACAAAAAGCATCAACCAGCTGACTGAGAAAATGAATCTCCCAATTAAAGATCTAACAACAGGTCCACGCTTAAACCCTGTCTTTTTTCCAAGCACCAGCAACCACTGGTCTTGGCTCTACTCAGATCAGTTGGGCATATGTTTTGTATCCAATCCATGGTAAATGCCTTCAACAGCAAAGCATGTCCAAATATTGTTTAATTCTTTGGCTCTGTTTTTCTCAAAACCCTTCTAGTGTACACTAGTCATTTACTGACAATATAGAGATTTATTTATGGGGACAATCTTACTTGATTGGCTATGGTGTATGTTTTTGGAATAGTCATCTGAATGTTGTTATAACCATAAGCTATTGCTGCATCTTCTATGATATCACATGCATGGATAATGTCCGCTCTGGTAGGAGGGATTTCAATTTCTATATTGTTCCCATTCCCTGTGACATGTGACTTCAAACACATCCTGGTCAGCAGCTTTGCAAGACTTGATGGTGTTTCACTAAAACAAGACAACAGAATCAATATTAGGGGACTTTTACATCACATTGATTAGCTTTTAAATAAGATACTACCTTTAATTTGCACAGTGTCTTCCATGATAAAGAATCTCAAAGTACTTTCAAACTGTATACATATGTATCACCTATCAGTGCCATCTCTTAGACAAAACATGACAGCAATTCTCTGCCAGCAAGACTACACAATAATTACAGGAGGGAATGAAGAATCACTCACTTAGTTGAAGAGCATCTTTAGGTAGCTGATATAATTACTCAAGTTAACATGCCAGTTTTTAGTGCATTCTAAAATTCAACTGAATACACAATATATACATTATAAAAATATCACAATAACCGGTGTATTTTACCACAGCTCATTAATTTCAATTAAAATAAAAGCTAGGTTTGCACAACATACCTGATTCCAATTTTCTTGTTAATTAAATCAGGTTTCACTTTTTCTCTTCTGTAAGCCAGTTCCTACAAGGCAAAAAAAGGGTTTACACAGAAAGTTACATTTGTGACTACTAAGATCCAGCTGTGACATCTTTCTAATCCAACTTCTTCTGACACCACTGACAGCCACAGAAGAGAATTCTGGAATGCAGGGTTGGGCTTAATATTTTAGAATAACCATAATACACTTTAAACAAACAACATCCTGATATGCTCAAATAAAGTTACTTTTAGTTAAGATGTAAGTTTTTAGGCACCTTTAATGCCTTTCAAGTGAACATTTGACAAAGAGAATACCAAAAACAAAGCACTGACACGATTAATGGTCATGCCTGGGAACTCAGGTTTCTGGAATGGACTTTGGAATTCTGCTACTGGGAGTAGGGCAAATCAAACTACCAGGAAGGTAGCAATTCCTGACACCTTGAGCAGAGCAGAGAGATGACATAATTCTCTCTTCCTTGTTTTACCAGATGTATAAATCAGATCAGACATAGACTTTTGTAAAACTCAGTGCAGCTCTTGCAGCCACAGAAAGCAGGAAAACACACACAAACCAAAAAATAAAACAAGACCCTGTGATAAACTCGTTAGTAAAATTGTTTAAATACAAAACAAACCCTCCTAAACAGTTGCCTCAAGAGGGAAAAAGTGAGTTAGTTCTTTTTTTGCCATATAAAGGCCTGGAAATTTTGGGGTTTAAAAGATTTTTGTTCTGCTTTAGAAGTATCTGGAATGATGTCTGGTTTTCTCCATTTTTTCTGGAGGTCTGACCCAGAGATGTAGATACTGGATACTTAATTTGAAGGGGAGGGATTTGGAATCTAACGAGAGGTTCCTCTCCCCACCCCGCTGTTCATTTACCGCACTGAGTCAAAAAGACATTATCAAAACAAAAGATACCAATATAGGACTATAAGAAGTCTGAATCTAAATAAAAGTCACTTCCCCTCTCAATTAACCAAATTTCACTTGCTTGATATCTATGCTAAGCCTAACTAGATCTCCAGTTGTCCACAGCTGCTTTCAGGGAAAACGTGGGACCATTTCCATTCTGCTTATTTTTAACAAAGCAAAAAAAGCATTAGCTATCACCCTAACCCTACAGAGAAATCCATGGGTGGGCACCTGAGCACATGCAGAGCCCCTCTGAAGTCACTGAGCAGACATCTGCCCACAGGCAGTTCCTTGTATGATTGGAGCTTCCAAGAGCAAAGGACCAAAAAAGCAACATTAAAGTTATTTAACTGAAAGGCATCAAAAACTTTCCAGATCCGATAAGCAAAAAAGTTAAGCCAAGGATGATTTCAATTGCCCATCAATTTATAGGGGGTGACAGCTGTGGGGGCAAAACTTCAAGCTAAGCAATCATTGCAGGAAAAAGCAACTTCTATGGGCTTTTGACCCTAGATTACATGCCTTGATTGTAGCTATACTTACTACTGGATCAGGCATAATACGTTTCAAATGGGTTCTAAGCTACAACAGTGACCTCAAACCCGTTTCAAACTTTCCCCTTCTTTTGGGATATCAGACTACTTTAGCAGTCCTATATTTTTAGCTTTGACAGAAATGGAATGTTTACAGTGAACAGGCTAGTGGGATAGCAGGAAATGAGGACTGTGCCACTGTCTTTTACCAAATCTTCATGTGTATAGAAATCCTTATCCCCCAGTCATCTCTAGAATACTTACTGGATAGATGCAGGTTTTTCCATTAAGATAAGTTACTTCTGCTGCTTCAACACTGAGGAGGGAAAAAAGTCAAAGTGTGTAAAATGTGGGATTTGACCAACGAGTCTGATCTCACTGACAGTAAAGGATTATACTACTCACGTGAATTGCTTCTCACAATATTCACTAAACATCGTGACTAAGATATCGAGGACAATTTTTGCCTACAAGAATGAAGAAATACAACCACATTAAAATCTGTGGGTTCTGCTATTTAATTTTAAATGACACAAAATATCAGATTTTCTTTGTCATGCTTCAGATGTTTAACTTAGAATAGAGTGAACACTGCTCTGTTTATTCCTTTAACGAAAAAATGGAAATCTAGAATGCAAGATACAACTTTACATCTCATGGGTCACATTCAATTAAAAAAAAAAATTGGCTTCTGTAACAAAGAAGTCCCTTCAAAGACATGAAAAATGGAAGGCTTTGGATGGCACTGAAGTAGACAGAGATTTTAGCTAAATTCAGCTCCCAAAGACATGAGAGCCTTTATTACAATATGGGTCTGGATCTTGCAAAGACTTACACTAATGAACAGTCCCACTGAAGTTAAAGCAAGTAAGAGTTTATAAACTCTAGGACTGTGCGTTTTCTGTAAAAAAAAAAAAAAACATGATCAGATCGACCTAAACTGTAAAATCTGTTTTTTGAGGAGGATATTTTGAGAAGTTAGTGCATGAGTCATAAGATTCAAATCAGTTTCTGTGAGACATCAAAAAACCTATTTAGCCTGAGGCAGACATTTCCTTTACACATACTGAACATCCATTTTAATGTTCATAAGTTGTAAAGAAGTAAAAAAAGCACAATAAAGGTGCTTATTGTTGGGATTCCCTCCAAGACCTCTTTCCACTCAACTTCAAGAACACAGTTCGACTCCAGACTTTGTCACTCAGGTAATTTTATTCGACACACAGCAATGCTAGGCTGAGTTGATCAGACTCAAATGCAGGGGGTGATGGATGCAGGATACATCACAGCTCCGAAGTTACACAAAGCCCTCTCCCTTTATATACATTACACATCTCATTGTATTTATTATACATTGCATCACATGTTTTTGGATTGGCTTGGTTACTTTGCTTGGTTTCTTTGCAGCATGCACTGTCCACGCACTGTTCATGGTTTGACTTCCTCTTTACCTCATCTTCACATTTCTAATTTATTTTGTCCTTGTTATCTAGTTCATAGTAAATAGTTCCATGGGTCTTTTCCCTCTTCTCTTAGTTGGCTCAGACATTCTGTCTTCTTAGCCTGCTGACCTATGCACTTACCTTATTTAGAACAAACACACTGTTTTCAACCTGATGATTCATTAGCTTCCCTACTTCTATCTTTCAAAAAATGAGGCCTCCCTCAATGTGTTAATTACATTTATCAGCCCCGAGAATGTCCTCCCATAACACAAAAATCTAGTTTAACCCTTGTAGTATATGGATTAATTTTAAAAAAGTGTTCTTGCTTTTACAAAGCATAAGTTGGACTCTGCCAAAATTCTCAAAGGAGTGAACGTGCATCCACAAAAGTTGCTTGGACTTGCGATTACCAAAATTGGGTGGGGAAAGGTTGCCCCTGGGTTGACACAATGAGAATTGTACCCCTACAAAGAAGTGTACTCATGCTTGGAAACTTGATCTTCAGTTTCATTTGACTCTCTCTCTTTAAACAAATTATAATAGAATTATCAAGAAGAAAGGCATCCCCAAGAAGTTTTATTGCTAAGGGATCAAGGGGGAAATGATTCTTTGTGAAGAGAACTCTGCTAAAATATAATAATCTCAAGGTATTTTTCACTTTTCAGAGCTGTTCAAGCACAGAACAACTATCAACAAGAAAGAGTATTTAATCTGAATTACTCTCAAATTGAACACTCAGTATCCATTCAGGAACAAAAATGTCTGGCCCTGAACAGATGGAACTAGAAACATTTTAAAAAACTTGAGTTATCCCCAGAGCAGTCATAAAAATGAAGCATGAGGACAAGCTGGTTAATACACTCCCCAAATTGCCCCTCAACTTTTCCTGCTCCAAAATGTATAATATATGCCCATCTACTCTATTTGTTTGCATGATGGTCCTGTTACCCTAGAAGAAAACAGTTACATGTATACCATGATATGACAGCATATCAAAGACAGTAAAGCTTCATTTACCTTTGTAATATCAGTGGCTGTGCATTCAACAAACACATTTCTGGTATTTAGGCTTATTTTTGTATGGTCTCCTACAATAAAAAAATACAAACACACATATTAAAAGAGGTTAGCATATTTCTTGGAACAACACAGATATTGATTCACCTTATTCGGAATCCAATGACATTGCTGTTGTCTTCCACTGGCCAGAAAATCACTTTTCTTGCAGCACCAACAGCTCTTAAATAGAAAATTCGAGTCTCCTCTTATAAATCAAGAGGCAAGAGTGAATGCATAATAGCAGGGACACACACTCTTGTGTGGAAGACTGGGGTTCAAAGTGAACTTGGGATACCCATTTCTGGGAGGTTGCATGGGTCTGTGGGAGCTATGAAGGCAATATCAGCCTCCAGTCAGGGAAAGCAAAATAGCAAAACAATGCCCACCTCGTGGTCATAACTAGCACTGCACTCTCAGAGGATGTGGTTTGCTCTAGCAAGTGCCAACATCATGATTGTGGCTTATTAGGCTGCAGGATTAGGAAAGCACCCCTGAATAAAGAGAATGAACATTTTTAAAACATCACTCAGATTGACAAATAGCCTAAGGGTAGGACTACACTTGTGGAGATGTGTAGACTACAGAAATTGCACACCCAGCTAACATGGGTATAAAGAACAGTGTAGACAGTAAGGCATTGCTTGGGCGAGCCAAGCAGAGACAAGCTTTAACTCTAGCGTATAGACCCTTCATGGCTCTCTACACACCAAGCAGTGCTTCCCACATGTACGCTGCTTTTTTAGCAGTGTAGCGTCCCCCTGCTAGAGCCTTTCCCTGCTGCAGTGAAAGACTCTGGCAGTGAGGAGGCAGCGGTGAAAGGCTCCAGCAGCGCCCTGCTGCCGCAACCTTTCCTCGTTGTGCCTGCCCTGGTGGAGTCTTTCACTGCCACGTGTAGCTACGCAGCCTGTCTTTCACTGGGGTTTGTAGGTTCATGTACCCAACATGCCACCACAAGTGTAGGCAAGGTCTAAGTCACTACTCTGAAGAACTGAGGGCTTTTTCTTGACGTGTCCTAGGTAAAGCCTAATGGGAAGCACATTGGGATACACAGGGTCTTCCCTGCTTTAAAATGAGAGAGAAAACAAACAGCCCATATTTAAACCAAGGACATTGGTCAATACTTACTTATCAGTCTATTGGTCAGACACTTCTTACTTGTGAAAATTCAATAACCTTCCCCACCTCTGCCCCTCCCTCAAAATTGCTGAAAGGATGGACAGAAAGGATAGCGCACTGGTTAGAACACTCGCCTGGGACTTGGAAGACCTGGGTTCAATTCCTTGTTTTGTTACAGACTTCCTGTGTGACCTTGGTCAAGTCTGTGTCTTAAGTTCCCCTTGGGGAGGGGTGGAGGAGAATAGCACTGACCTACTTCACATGATGATGAAAGGAGAAATATGTAAAAATTGTGAGTGCTCAGATCCCATGGTAATGCGAGCTGTATAACATGGATAGCAGAACAACATTGACAAGAAAGAATTGGTTACTGGGTTTTGTTTTTTTTGGCCAGTTCACAGTTTGGAGGATTCCAACTTGCAGCACAAAAGCTAAAAAAGAGCAAGTAAAATTTTGGAGCGCTCTCAGACTGATGTAAAGAAGTTTTTAGGATTCAAAAATTTTCCCATTCCATATCAGGACAAACCTGAAACCTTTTGATTTTTTTTTTTTTTTTTTTTTTTTTTTGGTGATAAACTAGAGAGAAATCCACACTAGGGAACTCACCTGATCTAATAGAGCAGGAATTTGAACCTGCCTCTCCCACATCCCAGGTGAATACCCCAACGACTTGGTTACTGGCTATTCTGCTTTCCCTGCCCCTCAGCTCCAGCCCCATCCATTCATTCTTGGTCTGAGAAACCTCTCTCAGCAAAACTTTTGTAGGAACTGGTATGCACTGGCAAAAAGTTCTGTTTCAACATTTTCCAAAGAAAAAATGTTTAGTTGGAAAATTCCTGACCAGCTCTAGTTAATGTTCCCACAATAATCTAAAATGAGCATTCACGTGTTTACATTTCAAGAACTATATGATGCATTGATTCTAACTTTGAAACATCTCTGAAACATCATCCCTTAAAATACACCAAGATATGTGAAATTTAATTCAGCCTTTTGAATTATTAAAATGCAAGCAGCTGGAATGTTTAGAGCTAGAATAATCTGAAGCTGCAATGAGCCTAATCAAGAACATTTCCAAAAGGATCAGAGACTGTGGCCGACATCATATTCGAATTTGGAACAGGTGTTAAACATCAGAGATAGATAAAAGTGCACTGCCTCTTAAAATTCAGGTCAGCTGTTTAAGATTTGTAGGGATGACTAGAAAAACACATCCAAAGTGAGAATGTCATTGGTGATCAGATCAGTCACTGTAGAGAGTGTGTCAGACCCTGATTACATCAGAGATACTGACTCTTGGTCTAAACTCTTATTATGGGTAAAATGAAACTACATCTCTCTTTCTGTCTAAGGAAATATTCTTGCCATTATCATGTATTGATCATGTATCAAGTATTGATCTGCTTCACTAGTCACCAGAAATGCCCTTCCCAAATCATCCATGAGTCCCTCTTATACTCAGAGGAATCACTGTTAGAAACCGTGCCAACAAAAATTGCAGCCCAAAAATTTATTTATTTAATCAAAGCCTTCTGGACTAATTTTTTATATACCAAATGCTCTCACAGTAATTGATTAACAGTACTGATAATTACACTGGATTCACGCCCAGGCAAATGGACCAGCATTCACTATTACCTACAACACAATGAGAGATACAAATTCTACCAGTTATTGATTCACCTTGAACTAAACTCTTCAGCCAAATGACCGATGAGTAATAGGTCTGTACCTGTTATGCCTATCCCATAGTTGCTCATGAAAGCCCCAACAAAGAAGTCCGTCATTTAGTTTCCAGTGGCAAGGGTACCAGAAACATACATTGCATTAGTAGTGAAGAATAAATGAAAAAATCATGACACCATTTTAAGAAAAATGCAACAACCCACATAATACTCAAACGTTTGTTGGCTACACCATCAGAAAAATAATTGTGGCAAAATAATATGTAATCTTACCATTGATAATTGGTGGCATGGAAAGAACGACACTGTTGCTATCATAGATAACTGGATAGAGTGGTTTGTTTTCAATTATGTGTAAATAATGCTTAAGTTGGCTGTCAGTCTGGAGAAATAAAGTACAAATAGAATTTCAGATTCTCTCAATCACGAACCATCACCATATGACATAATCCATCCACGTTTTGCCTGAGTAAAGGATTAGGCTCACAGATATTACTTCACTACAGAAAGTTGTTTAAAAAAGGAGGGAAGCCCAGAAACAATTTTCTATTTTCTCATTTTAACACTAACTTCAAAATATTACTTCTTAATCTGTGAGTAGGAGGATCACAGCCACACTATCTTACTCAAGCCAAACATTGTGATTGTTCATCGTAAAGGAACTTCCATTTCTTGTCCTAAGCAGAGAGCACTAAGCATGCGAAAGTAACTGTGTCCCTAGTTTACAGCAATTGGTTTTAAAGGTGAAAACGTTAGCTCTAGAACAATAAAGAAAAAAAAATTTCTAGTCTCCTAGTACTGATGGGTTTACACGGAGATGCTCTCCAGTATCTGATCCAAACGATTTCATCTTAAAAGATCCATGATATGAGGGGTGTTGGGGGTGGGTGGGTGTTATTTTAAATATAAACATCTGTTGCCAGAACATAGACAACACAGTTTTCTTCTGTGTATTCCTTCTAGCCTCTCTATTCCTCCTTGCTTGTTCTCTACCTCAGTGTCCTGTCATATCAGCTTAGATAGAGCATACTGGGGCTCTCTTTACTTGTTATGAAAAGCTCATGTGTCCCATGGTGCTTTATAGAAATGACAACACTATGAACACTTCCATATTAGAAAAGTTACTTTTTAAAACAGACTTGATATGACTTCTTCCCACTAATTATTGACCCACACATGGGGTTCTTTTCATTGTGGAGGGGAGCCAAGAATGGCATCTTGTTAAGCTTGAGCACTTTAAACAGCCACCCTGTCCTGCTACAGCCAGGCGAATATTTCAACATCTTCTGCAAATACATGATCAAATAAAAAAAACTGCACTTGCTTCAGTTCACCCTTCATGTGTTCAGTTTCCTGCCAGTAAGCTCATTCCTAGAATATTAATGGGATGTTCCAGAACCTTGAGCATTAAGGCAAAATGTTCATGGAAAGCAATCTTCGTGTTGATAAATGTGACTATCTGCATCAGAAGCCTGATTCCAAGAGTTATGTTTATCCAAAAAACAATACCATGTGACTTACATGGGTAATAAAAACTGAACTGCACAGCACAATTTTGAATATCAAATACAACCAAATGCTCATGAACAATTCTAAGACCAACGGTGAAATGCTCGCTCCATTAGACTCAGTTGCAAAACTCCCATTGATGTCAATGGGGCCGGATTTCACCCCAAGAGCTAGTTGCAGAAATTAGGTGAGTAATGTCAAATAAATATGAGAGAAACAGAAGTTGCTCAATTCAAAACAACTGTAAGGATTCAAATGGAGAAAGGCTAAATTATTTCAATCAGTCAATCACACTGTCTTAGACATCACAACAGTAAAAAGATGCATAGGGGTTTTTTTGTTGTTTTTTTAAAAAAGGTAAAATCCAGATATGTTCTATTAGTGATAAGAATTCATCGCATTGAATTAAAAAAAACAAACCACCTCACTGTATTTTTATTACAATTTCTATAGCAACAAAATTTAAAACCAGTTCCACCAACATATGAGGCTGATACTTTGTTCACTATGTTTCAGTGAGCACACATAGGAATTTTAAGGTATTTTTGTGACAACTGGTGGACCTCTATTTTGTCCCACGAAAACAAAAGGAGCATTTTGAGGCGGAATTAAAAAAAAAAAGACAGCTGAATACACCAGTTATAATCCTTCAAATAAAATATTTGTCATATTTCATACAACCATCTCCAGGACTGAGATAACTGGGTATGGAGCCTTTTAGCTTGTATACCATTTCACATTTGTACATTAGACTGTGATCTCACAACAGCAGTAAACAAAAGTTACCTTTCCATATGTCTGTTTGGTGCTCTGCATAAAGTGAACTTGTGATCTAGTTCCAGTTCCTAGTGAAGAGGTGGCCACAACATAAAATTACCACCACTATTGGCAAGATCCGCAGAGGTGCCAATCCCAAGTCTTGCAATCCCTCTAGAAATTGAGATTTCAGCACTGCATGTGAAGGGTTTGGAAAGGACACCTACCCTATATAGATCCATAATTTCAGAAGCAGTATACTCCTTGGACTGATTCAGGGGCTTGAACCTAATTTCTGAAGGAGGTCTAGCTGTATAAGTAAATGGACCAGAGATGGTGTCCAGGTCATGGGTACCAATCGCTACTAACGCTCTTTTCCTACAAAGGAAACAAGGAAAAACAAATGACTTTTCTATAGGTATTTGGAGTTCATTTAAGGTAATGTCCTCTGAGGCACTACAGTCTCAAACATGCACATAGCTAATCGTTGAAGCAGAATAGCAATTTTTACAAGCGTGGAAGCACTTACACCTAGTAGCATTCTGACTGCAGTATGCGTGGTACATTGGCTTTGTAACAACACACACAACAGTCAAATGCAAAATCTAATGGGACTGTGGCAGAGAGTTTACCCACGAGGCTTCTTCCACGACTTATGTAGCAGACGTCACCCCCTTATGGCAAAATGCATTGAGAATTGCCAGCATCAAGCAAGACAAATAAAGAATGTCAAAGAGCATTGCTGAAAAATATTTGTCTTAGCATGAGTGTAAACATAACATCTTTTTGGAAAAGTGAACCTCAAGTCCACCTCAAGAATAAAATTAAATATTTCACAATAAAAAATATTAAGTCAATATAAATGGTGATGTACCATATGCTTTATTCTCACTGGGTTTAGAAACTAACCTGCAGATGTTCTGATGTAGTTTTTCTTGCAAGTCAATGAAACTATCATAGCGATCCTTGGAAAAAGTTATGTTACGAAGGACTGCAGCTACAGCATGAGGACGAACTTGAGCAGTCTACAATTTATAAGAGCAGTACAGTTACAAACGATAAAAAATTTCATATATGCAGAATTTATAAAATTTAATTCTCACATTGAAAACAATGTGCGTCTTGAACTTTTTGACATGCTTAACACTTTCTTATAAAAATGGAAAATGCACAAAGAGTACCCATATCCCCAAAGGAAATAGTTTACTTTTAGTTTGGTAAAGGAAACAGGATTTTCTCTACAGAGAATTTGGTTTCAGAAAACCATTGGAGATGCACAGGTATGAATTTTCCTGAAATTACATGGTTATCCTTTACAAAGTAATTTGTTCAGTATTCCCATATGAGCTACAATGAAGACCACTAGTTACAATGTACATCACTGAATGGAGAAAACATTTAAACTTCTATTGCATAGGAAATAAGTTGTAGCCTTAGTCTGACTAAAATTTAAAACAAACTCAGTTATTACAGAGTATGTTTGCTGGTGATGAAGCTTTCAAGATACGGACAAAGGTTCAGCAAATAATTTCACCTCTTCAGTAATAATCAGCCTTTGAACGTCAACATTCACTGGCATAATCCTTTTGTATCTAGGGGCCTTTATCCTAAAACAAAAATGGAAATAAAGTTTACAACTGAGGGTGAAACATTCTTCCAAAAAGAGCACCAGGAGGAAACATTAGAACAGTGTCAATGCACTTTATGGTCAAAATGTTATCAATTTTTATTAGCATTTAAAATTCTGTAAAAACTGTTAACGTATATGTAAAAGTTTCCTACCAGGATATTACTAACTTAAGTACAGTGTACTATGAAACACATACGCTCAAAAAGACAACTCCACTGCTATCAGAGATTCCCAAAAAAACCCCTAGATTTAAAGAAAACAAGAACACACCTAGAGAAAACTGGTTCTGTCACAGGGGATTCAATCCTGGGTACCCTCAACTTCCACTATCTTCAAGCAGAGGTGAGGGCACTTAGCACCTTGCAGGATCAATCCCAGGTTGTCTAACCAGATCAATCATTAATGTTAATGGTAATTACTTGCACAGAAAATTTCAGAGAAATTGTGAATTGAAAAAAGAGAAAATTTTGATAACATTGTATATTATTTCAATAACAATATCAACAATCAATAATAATAACAACAACAACAACCACCCTAAAGACCTCCTTTAGGAAATCAGGAGAAGGAATCATCATTGTCATTCTCAGACTACGCATATCAGACACAGCTGCCTTCTACTCTGTGAAAGAGTATTGCTGTGAGCCTCTCTGGACAAGATTTCTGGAACGTAGAAAACATTTTGGCAATTACAGTGAAGTTATAGATCAGAGATCCCTCACAGGCCAAGCAAATAGCACTTTTATTAATCAGCTGCTTAATGTTAATAAGTAATGTATGATTAGTCTAATCAAATACAGAAGTATAAAAAAAATCTCACAGTGCTACAGTACCTTTCTTTAAAGACCTGAAGCCCTCGGACCAATCCTTCCAGACAAAGAAGATCATATCGGTTAGCAGGAACATCGATTTTATAGAGAATGATATCTGATGCACCCTCCGCCTTTCCATCACCTTGTTCTTTGCTTATTATGTCCTTCTCAGACGTCTACAATTAAATGAAATCACGAAATGAGTCACGAATAATGGAGTAAATGAGCATTGAAGATGCTTAGAAAATAGCATAATTTTAAATTAAAAAAATAAATAGTATTCATTAACAAGTGTGGTTTAAAGGGCATAATGTGGGTTTATATGTGAAATGGGTACTTAAAGCATCAGAAACTGTACTAATTGAAAGTACCTCTCAGATTCAGAAGTCTTAATACAATAACGCAAAGGAATATTTGTTTATTATTGGAACTGAATTATTGGAAACAAAGACTAGCCCAGGCATAAGTGGCTAGACTAGTAGATCCCAGTACACAACTGGACCTAATTATTTCTTCCATTTTGGCTGTAAATCAGTATCCCGTCAGTAATGTCTGAAGTCTATTCTGAAATAAAGCATACAAGAAAAGAGCCTTTGAATACATATAAATGATCTGATCAGAAGATCAACTTAATCACTTCAGACTAAACCAGAAATTAAAAAAACATCAACACAGTATTAGATTCAGCAGAACTCTGCAAAAATGTGGGTGCCAATGCTAGAAAATTCTGATGCAGGATCAAGACCTCAACCACTACTTTTAAGTCACTATATAAAATGCTCAAAACACTAAGTTTATGTGGAAGTTGTACAACCTTGCATAAAAAAAATAAAGCCAAAGTACAGTTTGTAAAGTATTTGCAACACAGAGTCTGTAACTGGGATGCCAACATTGGAAGTTCTTGGCCACTACAGCAGAACAGTAGTGTCTGTGGATCATATACGCTACTTATGATGTTCACGGAGAAGGCTCTTTTATTGGTGGAGGGCAGCTAAACTGCCAAAGACACAACAGACTGGTTCCCTCTATCAAAACAGAACTGCAATCAATCCCGCACAGCCAAGTGGCTAAAGACAAATGTAAATGTGACAAATGACAACATATTACTTACAATTTCATCAAGCTCCAGACCAAACTCAAAGCAAAGTTCATCAAATTCTTCATCAGCTAAGAAGAAAGAAAAATACTCTGGTTAATTCTGGTTTCCAAAAAACAGATCTCAGACTTCTGAAGACAACTTTCCCTGAATAGAATCCTAAATACTATTTGCAAGGGGAGGGGGGGAAGTCATTGAGAATTTTATCTTTACTTTTATTTTAGTAACAATATCTGCTATACATATTGTAGCTATTGATTTGTGAAATTCATAGCAAAAGATTTAGATCACAATATATCAGAGTTAGTATTGAATACAATTTGTTGTACCATTAGCTTTTTTCAGATTAGTCTCCACACAGTATAACAGAGCAGGAACACATCACATCAGCAAAAGAACAGACAAGCCTATGAGAAGCAGTGCACTATTAACCATTACCTTCTCAGTCAGCTGGGTATAAATTAGATGCATAACTCACCCTATGACTTATGGCGAGGTCCAGTCTGCCAGAGAAATTAGGAAAAAGGAAGGGCTGCGGGAAAAGGTAATTTGCCTAAACTATCTTACCTATCAGGCCTACCTCTCTTCCCTAATTTTTTAAAAATGTATTTCTGAATCCATGAACTATTACAATGAAAAACAGAATCCAGAACTCAGGGTTCAGAAGCCAAGCAAATTAAAAACTGCTTTCCCCAATACGCTGTTTTAAAATTAGATTGTAATTTTAAATGTATACCTATATTTTATCAGTAAGCGAGACTCAAATAACATGTATGTGCACACAGAACCTGAAAAATCCACCAAGCCACGGTAAGCAAGCAAACGCTAGGAACCTCTGAAGAAACCAAGCTTTAATTAAAAGCGTTTTTAGCCCTTATGGCTGTGCAAACACACCGCCTCCTGGGGAATTAAGTGTAAGTTATTGCAGTGACGTCTAAGCCTACATACAGCCAACGCCACACGGCACAGACGGCTCCTTTCCCCCAATGAAAGCGGCCCAGAGTCTTGCCAGTTTCACGGCTGGCCGCTATTACAGCCAGGACACTCAGATCGGATCGGCAGCATCGTGCTGCTAACTGGGAAAGCCCCGAGCAAAGGCAGACACAGGCACCGGAGCTAGCAGTCGGTGGGGAGCAGCCCCCAGAAACAGAAGCTGGAAGAGGCGGGAAGGCAACTAAGTGCCCCGGTGGCAGCGACCTGAGAGCTGGTGACAGGCCAGAGCAACAGAGAGCCCCCCTCGCCCGCCCGCCAAGCCCCACCCCCGCTCCGGCACCGCGGCTCGCCGCCCGCACTCACTATAGCGCCTGCCCAGCGCCTGGAAGAGCAGCTCCCGCTTCACACTGACCGTCGGCATGTCACACACCTGCACTACAGCCGCACTGCGCATGCGCCGCCCGCAGGAAGGCCCCGGCTCCGCCACACTCACCAGGCCTTGGGACTGCCCAACAGCATCGCCTGATTTTCCGAGTCTCCTTCTGCTCCTGTACCAGCGCGGCTGCTCTCCCCATCTCACGCCGCCCCGGTGGCCGGCTGGCACACGCGCTCCCCGTGCGGCACCCGCGGCGTGCGAGCGGAACGAAAGGAAGGATGTGTCTGGTGTGATCAGGCAGACCCAGGACAGCTGCGCACGTAGGACGATACGTCAGCGGGTCGGTTTGGCCGAGCCGGCTCCCGACGGTGAACAGACAGCGCGTGGGGCTGGGTTAGGGGCTACCGGCCCCCAGTGCAGGGCCTGGCCCTCTCCCTGGCCGTCCCGCGCTCCTTACTCAGCGGCTCCCACCCAGGGCCCTGTGCTGAGCGGTGCGGCTTGGGTAGGTCGGAACGTGACACTTCCACCCCAAATGGTGGCGTGGGGGGCGTTCCCCCCGGGCTGGTCAGCGCCCCGGTGCGGGGGGGCTGCGGCACTGACAGAGCACCGCAGCCCCCTGGGAATGGCACCGGGCCGCCCTTCCCAGCCGTGATTGTGCCGCTTGTGGGCCCGGGCTTGCAGTCCCTGCGCCTGCGTAAAGCTCCCTGTGACTGTGCTGGGCGCTAATGATTTCTTTTCTGTGGGGGGACTAAAGGCTTGTACCGGGTTGTTTCAAAGTGGGGCTCACCCAGTCAGAGTCAAAAGGCTGAGTTTCCAGGCCTGTAGGCTGTGCCTTGGACAAATATAACCCCAAACACCTGCTTTTCAGCAGGCCGCTTATAATGAAGGGTGTTATAGCTATAGTGCTAGCCTGCAACCCTGGGACTTTCTAAGTAGTGATAAAGGGGGATTGTTGAGGTAACAGCAAAGTGCAGTTTCCAGGATCTTTAGCTGGACATTTAAAGTGAGAAATAGTGGAAAACAGAAGATGCACTTGAGGAAGGTTGTTTGCTTGAAGCTCTGCAGATTTTGTGTCCGATTTGCATTTGGAGAGCTAAAGCTGCTTCTCCATTACCCCTGCACATTCTGTAGCAAACTGAACATAAAATGTTACTGAACTGATTAGATAGTGTTCATGCCCATTTTGCACTGTGCAGTGGTGTAAATGAGCGCACAAAGAGCGGGGCAACAGAAAATCAGGCCCCAGGAACTGAGAGACTTCTTTCTGGAAGGAGTGCAGTTGTGAGACCTGACTCTCTCCTCTCACACTAGTATAAATTGAGAATAACTCCAGTGAAATCAATAGGCCTGATGCTCTTCTAAGTTAAACTGGTGTAAATCAAGAGTAATTTTATTGAAGTCAAAGCTATGCTGATGTAATACAGGTGTAAATAAGAGCAGGAGACCCCTAGTGTTCCTGAGTCCTGCAGAGAACCCTTAAGAGGGTATATTCCCCTGGATATTGGTATTTTAATTGCTAGTCTGTGAATCTTTCCATTGATCTGAATGGCCATTGAAATGAGCATAATAAATCCAAGAAGGAAGGTTAGTGAGACATGTGAGGACTAGTTACTACAGGTTAGACTAGGTCTCAACACAGGTAATAAAAGTTGTCATTATTATAAGTATAGAAGAAGTGAGTCTAGTTGTCTTATCAGACAGGTAGTACTAAGACAAAAATTGAATTTTCATATATTTCATATTAGTATTTTCTTGTGCATACTGCCCCTTTGTGACACTCTGTACCTTGGGGGAGTGCCCTGTAACCCCCATATTTATCATTTATATATAATTGTGATATTTCATATAAAGCATGCCATGTGAGGTATCAGGGGAAAGGTTATGATCTGCAGAAAGCCATTGTTCTATCTAAATATGTATATCATTGGTACATAGGAAGTTATGAGATTGTGTTGTATGGTTGTCACTAAAATATGCTGTGCGGATTTGCCCAGATATTAGATCCCCAGAGATTACAACAAGGGAGCTAACCAACGCCTGGGCAGGTGTCGAACAACCATCAACAGCCATTGTCCAGCAGGGAGGTACAATGAAATCACTCACTTGCACAAGATGACGCCAGGGGAGTTGCTCTACCTTGCCTGGTGACTCAGCAGCGCCCACCAGACATGCCTGGACTTATGTTCTCTAAGCATATGGAACAAGGGTATAAAACCGAACACAGTGTGGCCCCATGCTTGGCCTTTTCTCCTCCCCGCACCTACACTGCAAGTGACAAGATTGCTCAGAAGACTAAAGACACCAGCAGAGGAGACTGGCCCAGGTTTCAAGGGTGAAACCTGTGCCTTATGAAATGTAACATCCAGTGGAGTGAGAGAACTGCTTGATCTAAATACTGCCTAGTGTCTTACAGGTTTAGGATTTAGATTGTGTGCTGATTTTGTTTTCTTTGGTAACGAATTCTGACTTTTTGCCTGCCACTTAGATTTTAAGCGATTATATCTTTTGTAATCAATAAACTTGTTTTACTGTTTATCTTTACCAGTGAGTTTGCCTGAAGTGTTTGTGACCTGAGCAGATTTACCAAAGGTTGGTGCATGTCCACTTTCCATTGATGAAGTGGCAAACCAATTAATAAACTTGTTTTGCTCGAGATGGTATATTCTTAGGGTGCAAAGCTGGGACCTGGGGGGATGTGGCTGGCGCCTTTCTCTGTGTGATTCATGAGTGGCTCTGGGAGCATTCATGCAATCTAACTGGGTGTGGGGCTCCACATGCTGTTGTGCTGAGTGATGACAGCACCTGGAGGGGTTTGCTGTTTGCCACCAATAAGGCATTGTGAGAATAGTGAGTAAATAGGGTAGAGTGGGCCCACAGTCCCAAGTTTCATCTGAGGATCCTGTCACCCTTGTTTTATTACCTGGTAATTCCTGGTTTGTTGCTTTGTTTTTATTTCTCTTCCACTTTTCCTTAAACTTCATTTTTAGTGCATATATCAATTAATTAACCTACTGTTTTATCCTACATTTATGTTCTGCTACATTTAGTGTGTATAAGAATATATACAAATTGAATAAAAAGCCTAACATGTAACCACCCTTTTAAACACTATTCAGTTATATCAGATAAGTGACTAAAGCATTTCCATTCTGTCCTAAAGATCTAAAAGTGCCTGATGTCACCCTCAACTATTACAAAAACTGTCTTCAGCATTGTTTTGTAAAGAATGGATTATGCTATCATGGAGATATCTGTGACACTCCTTATAATTGTTTTCTAAGAGGTGTTTTTTATTTTCAGATTTCAAGGTGTTTCACCCATGTTGGTGTTCATTCTTTTCTTTATCCTCCCACACCCTCGGGTGCATAGAGTGTCCACCAGTTTCCACCATTTATTTTGGTCTTATGCTGGTCTTTTCAGGCTTCTGAGTTTCGTGTTGATGGATTTGGCTTCCTTCTCTATTGTTCTACATAATGTTTTTCTAGGTTGCCCTCTTTTTCCTCTTTCCAGGTGATGCCCATATCATAGGTGCCAACTCCGTGGATACTCCAGGGCTGGAGCACCCACAGAAAAAATTAGTGGGTGCTTATCACCCACTGGCAGCCAGCTTCCCTCCTCTCCCCTCCAGCGCCTCCCGTCCACCAGCAGCTCCACCAATCAACTCCTCCCCCTCCCTCCAGTGCCTCCCGCCCGCCATGATCAGTTCTGTGGTGTGCAGGAGGGGCTGGGGGGGGGGGGAGGGGAGGGAGGAGCAGGGATGGACCGTGCTAGGGGGTGGGGGTGGGGCATAGGCTTGGGAGAAGGAGTTGGGTGGGGGCGGGTCCTGGGGCAGAGCAGGGAGTTGAGCACCCTGGGGCCTGGAGAAGCCGGTGCCTGTGACCCATATTATCACTTGCTGTGGAACTTATGTTGGGGCATCCTTAAAGCATGTCCTAAATATGTCCATTGGCATTGTCTGACCGTACAGTATTTGATGCTGTAGATTGGTTTGTTCTACTTAGAATTTCTGATGTTGCAAGAAACTCTTTCCAATGGACTTTGAAGATCTTCCGCAGGCATTTATTTTGGAATTAATTGATCTTATCAATTTTTGTTGTAGATTTCCATGACCTTGCTCCATAGAGGAGGACAGACATGATGCAGGTGTTAAAAATGTATATTTGTGTCAATGTCAATAATACTACTTTTCCAAATCTTTTCACTTTGCTGCTTTTGATATTTGTTGTTTGACATCTAACATGGTGTCACCATCATTGCACGTAGCACTCCTTATATGGGTAAAATGACTTGTAATATTTCTTCATCTACTCTAACGGTTACTTTTGCAACACTGATAGCCTTATATTTTATCTTCCCCTTGTTGATGAACAGACCAATTTGTTTTGTTGTACCTGCCAAAAACTGAGTCTCTTTTTCCATTAAGTGACCTGTTGAACTAAGCAGAACAATGTCATCAGCAAAAATGCGGTCCTCCAGTTGTGGTTTATCATTTATCCATAAAAGTGATATGCTATTATGGATCCTTTATAAAAGCAATAGCTCTGTATAGAGGAGACCATAACAGCAATGTCTCTCCCACATAAGAAGTCAAAGTCTGTCTGTCTTGCACAGAAATAATCCCCGCTCTTTCTTTGGGAATATATAGCAAGGCAAACTAGTTCTCTTCCTGTCTTGTAGCTAGCTGGAAGTCCAAATAACTATGCTGCTTCATTTAAAAATGCATTTTATTTTTATTGCAAAAACATTTTACCCTATTTGTTTAAACAAGAATTAATTATAGCAGTTGACACTAGTTTTAATAATATAACGTATGGAATTGACTTAAATTAAGATCAAAGTAGCCTTCACAAGGTTTGCTTTCAAAAACAAAACAAAACAAAAAAAACACTTTAATGAAAATAAAATCAGTGGACTCCCTTAGAAAAGTATAGACAACTCATTTTTCTCTTTTTTTTTTTATCAGTAGCAGCAGAATCTTGATCATTTACGTTAATGACCCAGCGGCCCATTTCTGATAAACTTTCCAAATTAGCAAACAAGCGCAACTTTAAGAAAAATCAAGGATATTGCATTTTTATTCAGTTATGCTGATGTGTATTTTGGTTTTAATTATTTATATTTCAGCATGTTACTAAATGTTGTCATGTTTAAAAAAAAATAATAATGAGATCTTAGTAATGTGAGGCCTCGCTGAATCTCTCTGTTTTTAAATCTGTTGTTGAAAAGGGAGATGAAGTGCCAAATCCTCACTGATATCAACTCACAAGATTGGGCCCTTTTTTGTAAAAATTATCCAGAAGCCCTATGCCTGCTCCTACACGTTCTTTTTGCACAGAACTATCATTGAAGTCATGATTAATGTTTTAAACTGGTTTATGGAAATATAAATGTAATTGAGTTGAGAAACCCAAGACCAAGCAAGTAGCGTAACAGGTTTTCCAAAGGAGGTAACTTATTCACATGCACTCTAGGAGCATGTTCCTGCATGGTACTAAGCACCTCCTAAGAGGCCCTGAATGCTCTCAATTCCCATTAACAACAATTAAAGTCACTCTGAGCCTTGTGGGATCAGGTGCATTCAAAGCAAGGGTAGGCTAGTATTTGAAAATCATAGCCTACACCCCATTTGGCTGTGCCAGGGGATTGCTGATGATGACTCAGAAGTTCCTTGCAACTCTATAATTTCTTACTCAAATTGGACTTTCACTGAGTTTTCCCACAGAAAATTCTTACAAAATCTGAGCTAAATAATGAGCTATATAATGTTAGTCCTATGCAAATGTGACTCAGATTTTTTGGTTTTTATTTCTGTGTTGGGTTGGGGAAATTTGACAGGACAGTGAGTCCTCTTGCACCTAATACATAATCTTGGCAGAACTAATTTTTTAATTTTTATAGTTTTGACAGTTAAGCATTTTGTAGATTTTATTGCTTCAATTTTTCACAGTTGTGGGAAATTATAGGGTGGATTCAGACAACAGGATGGGTTAGACAATAATTACTGTCAGTAGACATTAATTTTAAAAAGTTAAACTTTATAACAGTTAAAACATATTGTCAAAATATACAAAATAAATAAAGTTCTCAAGCGGTATTTTTCTTACTTTGCCCATTTGTAAACTTCTCTTATGGTAAGTAGAAATAGTTTTTTGTTGGCTTGTTCATATATGGTGAAATCAATTTGTATCAATATTTGCCAATTAAAAACCTAATCTTTCCAACCTTGCTTATGTAGTTCCAGCCAGCTGACCTTGCATATTAATTTATTGCCATGACATTGTTCAGAACAGTAGACAGGTAGATGTGGGGTTGAGGGTACAAAGTTGATGAGGGGATGCATAATTAATAGCCGCACTGAGGAGCGGATAGATGGGGAGCTGGTGGCATAAAAAATTAGAGTTTTTGGTTTGGCAAACAAGCTTGAAGTTCTGCACCATCAGGCAGCCAGTGAAAGCTCTTGCAGTGGGGACCAAAATCACTTGATAAGGACATGTCCACACAGTGAGTAACTGTGTGGCAAGTCATAGTGTGAATCTGCAGCTTACCAGCTGAAAGTCCAAAAGCGCAGCAAGCAGCACACAAAGTCGTAATCCAGGTCTTTCGCTGCACTGTAACAGTTAAACCAGCCCTTGGAGAGCGCAGTAGGGAAAGCGCTGCAGTCTGTCCACACTGACAGCTGCAAGCACACTGGTGTGGCCACATTTGCAGCACTTGCAGCAGCATTGGGAGCAGTGCATTATGGGCAGCTATCCCACAGAGCACCTCTTCCCATTCTGGCTCTGTAGCTTGTGGGAAGGGTGCTGGCGGGGCATTCTGGGTCCTGTCCCAATGCCCCGTGATGCATTGGTTCGCATCCCAGCAATCCCTGTGCTTCTGTCCACATTTGGTGCTATTTTTCAATGTTTTTGTATTGCGCGCTCTGTCTTCTCTTTTGGTCAGCGGGAATGGAGCCCAAACTGCTGAGGAGTATGCTGATGAGTCTCGCCAGCACGTCACATTTGGCAGTCGAGTTATTCTTTATGATCCAAAGTGACAGCGAGGGCTCCAACTATGATATCAACTTGAGTAAGGCATCTGACACGAGTTTGTTTGTGGCATTCACGGACATGCTCACCACCGTGGAACGCCGCTTTTGGACTCGGGAAACAAGTACTGAGTGGTGGGATCGCATTGTCATACAAGTCTGGGATGATGAGCAGTGGCTGCAGAACTTTTGGATGAGAAAAGCCACTTCTTCGAGTGATTGCTCATGTGTATTCCACAATAGGTGTGTGTGCTCGCCACGTGCACCGGTGCCGAAAGTTTTTCCCCTAGCAGTACCCGTAGGGGGAACACCCCAGTGACCCCTGGAGTGACACCTCTATGGCACGGTATAAAGGGAGCTGCGTGCTCCCCCTCACCCTCAGTTCCTTCTTGCCACCAGTGAAGGTGCATCGGAATTGCTCTGCTCCAGCTTTTCTGTAGCTCGTCCCCAGAACTTTTTGTTCATTCAGTGCTAGTACCTGTAGTTAGTTAGCTGTTACAGTTAGTTCATTTAGTTA